TTGTGTGGGTGAGTGACACTGTGTGGGTGAGTGACGCTGTGTGGGTGAGTGACACTGTGCGGGTGAGTGACGCTGTGTGGGTGAGTGACGCTGTGTGGGTGAGTGAAACTGTGTGGGTGAGTGGCACTGTGTGGGTGAGTGCCTGTGTGGGTGAGGGACGCTGTTGTGGGTGCCGTTGACGCTGTGGTGAGTGACGCTGTGTGGGTGAGTGACGCTGTGTGGGTGAGTGACAGCTGTGTGGTGAGTGACAGCTGTGTGGGTGAGTGAACGCTGTGTGGGTGAGTGACACTGTGTGGGTGAGTGACACTGTGGTGGGTGAGTGGCACTGTGTGGGTGAGTGACGCTGTGTGGGGTGGCCTTGAGGTGGACGCTGTGTGGGTGAGTGACGCTGTGTGGGTGAGTGCACTGTGTGGGTGAGTGGCACTGTGTGGGGTGAGTGCACTGTGTGGGTGAGTGGCACTGTGTGGGGTGAGTGACGCTGTGTGGGTGAGTGACACTGTGTGGGTGAGTGGCACTGTGTGGGTGAGTGGCACTGTGGTGGGTGAGTGACACTGTGTGGGTGAGTGCACTGTGTGGGTGAGTGCACTGTGTGGGTGAGTGACAACTGGTGGGGTGAGTGGCACTGTGTGGGTGAGTGCACTGTGTGGGTGAGTGGCACTGTGTGGGTGAGTGGCACTGTGTGGGTGAGTGACACTGTGTGGGTGAGTGACACTGTGTGGGTGAGTGACGCTGCGTGGGTGAGTGACACTGTGCGGGTGAGTGACGCTGTGTGGGTGAGTGGCACTGTGTGGGTGAGTGACACTGTGTGGGTGAGTGACACTGTGTGGTTGAGTGACGCTGCGTGGGTGAGTGACGCTGCGTGGGTGAGTGACACTGTGCGGGTGAGTGACACTGTGTGGGTGAGTGACACTGTGTGGGTGAGTGACACTGTGTGGTTGAGTGACGCTGCGTGGGTGAGTGACGCTGCGTGGGTGAGTGACACTGTGTGGGTGAGTGACACTGTGTGGGTGAGTGACACTGTGTGGGTGAGTGACACTGTGTGGGTGAGTGACACTGTGTGGGTGAGTGACACTGTGCGGGTGAGTGACGCTGTGTGGGTGAGTGACTCTGTGCGGGTGAGTGACGCTGTGCGGGTGAGTGACACTGTGTGGGTGAGTGACGCTGTGTGGGTGAGTGACACTGTGTGGGTGAGTGACGCTGTGTGGGTGAGTGACACTGTGCGGGTGAGTGACGCTGTGCGGGTGAGTGACGCTGTGCGGGTGAGTGACACTGTGTGGGTGAGTGACACTGTGTGGGTGAGTGACACTGTGTGGGTGAGTGACTTTGTGTGGGTGAGTGACTCTGTGTGGGTGAGTGACTCTGTGTGGGTGAGTGACACTGTGTGGGTGAGTGACGCTGTGTGTGTGAGTGACGCTGTGTGGGTGAGTGATGCTGTGTGGGTGAGTGACACTGCGTGGGTGAGTGACACTGTGCGGGTGAGTGACGCTGTGTGGGTGAGTGACACTGTGTGGGTGAGTGACGCTGCGTGGGTGAGTGACACTGTGCGGGTGAGTGACACTGTGTGGGTGAGTGGCACTGTGTGGGTGAGTGGCACTGTGTGGGTGAGTGACACTGTGTGGGTGAGTGGCACTGTGTGGGTGAGTGACGCTGCGTGGGTGAGTGACACTGTGCGGGTGAGTGACACTGTGTGGTTGAGTGACGCTGCGTGGGTGAGTGACGCTGCGTGGGTGAGTGACACTGTGCGGGTGAGTGACACTGTGCGGGTGAGTGACACTGTGTGGGTGAGTGACACTGTGTGGGTGAGTGACACTGTGTGGGTGAGTGACACTGTGTGGGTGAGTGACTCTGTGTGGGTGAGTGACTCTGTGTGGGTGAGTGACTCTGTGTGGGTGAGTGACACTGTGTGGGTGAGTGACGCTGTGTGTGTGAGTGACGCTGTGTGGGTGAGTGACGCTGTGTGGGTGAGTGACACTGCGTGGGTGAGTGACACTGCGTGGGTGAGTGACGCTGTGTGGGTGAGTGACACTGTGTGGGTGAGTGACGCTGTGTGTGTGAGTGACGCTGTGCGGGTGAGTGACGCTGTGCGGGTGAGTGACACTGTGCGGGTGAGTGACACTGTGTGGGTGAGTGACACTGTGTGGGTGAGTGGCACTGTGTGGGTGAGTGACGCTGTGTGGGTGAGTGACGCTGTGCGGGTGAGTGACACTGTGTGGGTGAGTGGCACTGTGTGGGTGAGTGACACTGTGTGGGTGAGTGACGCTGTGTGGGTGAGTGACGCTGTGTGGGTGAGTGACGCTGTGTGGGTGAGTGACGCTGTGCGGGTGAGTGACACTGTGTGGGTGAGTGACACTGTGTGGGTGAGTGGCACTGCGTGGGTGAGTGACACTGTGCGGGTGAGTGACACTGTGTGGGTGAGTGACGCTGTGCGGGTGAGTGACACTGTGCGGGTGAGTGACGCTGTGTGGGTGAGTGACGCTGTGTGGGTGAATGACACGGGTGGTGTGAGTGACGCTGTGTGGGTGAGTGACGCTGTGTGGGTGAGTGACACTGTGTGGGTGAGTGACACTGTGCGGGTGAGTGACGCTGTGTGGGTGAGTGACACTGTGCGGGTGAGTGACACTGTGTGGGTGAGTGACACTGTGTGGGGAGTGTACGCTTTGTGGGTGAGTGACGCTGTGTGGGTGAGTGACACTGTGTGTGTGAGTGACGCTGTGTGGGTGAGTGACACTGTGTGGGTGAGTGACACTGTGTGGGTGAGTGACACTGTGCGGGTGAGTGACACTGTGTGGGTGAGTGACACTGTGCGGGTGAGTGACTCTGTGTGGGTGAGTGACACTGTGTGGGTGAGTGACACTGTGTGGGTGAGTGACACTGTGTGGGTGAGTGACGCTGTGCGGGTGAGTGACACTGTGTGGGTGAGTGACGCTGTGCGGGTGAGTGACACTGTGCGGGTGAGTGACACTGTGTGGGTGAGTGACAGCTGTGTGGGTGAGTGACACTGTGTGGGTGAGTGACGCTGTGCGGGTGAGTGACACTGTGCGGGTGAGTGACACTGTGCGGGTGAGTGACGCTGTGCGGGTGAGTGACACTGTGCGGGTGAGTGACACTGTGCGGGTGAGTGACTCTGTGTGGGTGAGTGACACTGTGTGGGTGAGTGACACTGTGTGGGTGAGTGACACTGTGTGGGTGAGTGACGCTGTGCGGGTGAGTGACACTGTGTGGGTGAGTGACGCTGTGCGGGTGAGTGACACTGTGCGGGTGAGTGACACTGTGTGGGTGAGTGACGCTGTGTGGGTGAGTGACACTGTGTGGGTGAGTGACGCTGTGTGGGTGAGTGACACTGTGCGGGTGAGTGACACTGTGCGGGTGAGTGACTCTGTGTGGGTGAGTGACACTGTGTGGGTGAGTGACACTGTGTGGGTGATTGACACTGTGCGGGTGAGTGACGCTGTGCGGGTGAGTGACACTGTGTGGGTGAGTGACGCTGTGCGGGTGAGTGACACTGTGTGGGTGAGTGACACTGTGCGGGTGAGTGACACTGTGCGGGTGAGTGACACTGTGCGGGTGAGTGACACTGTGTGGGTGAGTGACACTGTGTGGGTGAGTGACACTGTGCGGGTGAGTGACACTGTGCGGGTGAGTGACACTGTGCGGGTGAGTGACACTGTGTGGGTGAGTGACGCTGTGCGGGTGAGTGACGCTGTGTGGGTGAGTGACACTGTGTGGGTGAGTGACACTGTGTGGGTGAGTGACGCTGTGCGGGTGAGTGACACTGTGCGGGTGAGTGACACTGTGCGGGTGAGTGACGCTGTGTGGGTGAGTGACACTGTGTGGGTGAGTGACACTGTGCGGGTGAGTGACGCTGTGTGGGTGAGTGACACTGTGCGGGTGAGTGACACTGTGCGGGTGAGTGACACTGTGCGGGTGAGTGACGCTGTGTGGGTGAGTGACACGCGGTGACGCTGTGTGGGTGAGTGACACTGTGTGGGTGAGTGACACGCGGTGACGCTGTGTGGGTGAGTGACACTGTGTGGGTGAGTGACACGCGGTGACGCTGTGTGGGTGAGTGACGCTGTGTGGGTGAGTGACACTGTGTGGGTGAGTGAGACTGTGTGGGTGAGTGGCACGCGGGGACACTGTGTGGGTGAGTGACACTGTGTGGGTGAGTGGCACTGTGTGGGTGAGTGGCACTGTGTGGGTGAGTGGCACTGTGTGGGTGAGTGGCACTGTGTGGGTGAGTGACACCGTGTGGGTGAGTGACACTGTGTGGGTGAGTGGCACGCGGGGACACTGTGTGGGTGAGTGACACTGTGTGGGTGAGTGGCACGCGGGGACACTGTGTGGGTGAGTGACACTGTGTGGGTGAGTGACGCTGTGTGGGTGAGTGACACTGTGTGGGTGAGTGACACTGTGTGGGTGAGTGGCACTGTGTGGGTGAGTGACACCGTGTGGGTGAGTGACACTGTGTGGGTGAGTGGCACGCGGGGACACTGTGTGGGTGAGTGACACTGTGTGGGTGAGTGGCACTGTGTGGGTGAGTGGCACTGTGTGGGTGAGTGGCACTGTGTGGGTGAGTGGCACGCGGGGACACTGTGTGGGTGAGTGACACTGTGTGGGTGAGTGGCACTGTGTGGGTGAGTGGCACTGTGTGGGTGAGTGGCACTGTGTGGGTGAGTGGCACGCGGGGACACTGTGTGGGTGAGTGACACTGTGTGGGTGAGTGGCACTGTGTGGGTGAGTGGCACTGTGTGGGTGAGTGACACTGTGTGGGTGAGTGGCACGCGGGGACACTGTGTGGGTGAGTGACACTGTGTGGGTGAGTGGCACGCGGTGACGCTGTGTGGGTGAGTGGCACTGTGTGGGTGAGTGGCACTGTGTGGGTGAGTGGCACGCGGTGACGCTGTGTGGGTGAGTGACACTGTGTGGGTGAGTGGCACGCGGGGACACTGCGTGTGCGAGGCGTGGTGACACCGTGACACGTGGTGCGTGTGTGACACGTGGGGGCTACTGTGTGAGTGACACGTGGGTGGAGGAGGAAAGGCGAGTTTCCTCCTGCGCTCGTGGACTTAGGCAGGAAGTGGCAATCGCGAGTGCCGGGCCACGCGTGCAACGAGGGTGAGTGTGAGAGTGCGCGTGAGACAGGGTGAGTGTGTGTGAGAGAGGGTGAATGAGAGTGAGAGTGTGCGTGAGAGAGGGTGTGAGCGAGGGTGAATGTGCGTGAGAATGTGTGTGAGAGAGGGGGAGTGGGCGTGAGAGTGTGCGTGAGAATGTGTGTGAGAGAGGGTGTGAGCGAGGGTGAGTGTGCGTGAGAGTGTGCGTGAGAGAGTGTGAGTGTGCGTGAGGGTGTGCGTGAGACAGGGTTGAGTGTGTGTGAGAGAGGGTGTGAGCGAGGGTGAGTGTGCGTGAGAGTGTGCGTGAGAGAGTGTGAGTGTGCGTGAGGGTGTGCGTGAGAGAGTGTGAGTGTGCGTGAGGGTGTGCGTGAGAGAGTGTGAGTGTATGTGAGAGAGGGTGTGAGCGAGGGTGAGTGTGCGTGAGAGTGTGCGTGAGACAGGGTGAGTGTGTGTGAGAGTGTGCGTGAGAGAGTGTGAGTGTGCGTGAGAGTGTGCGTGAGACAGGGTGAGTGTGCGTGAGGGTGTGCGTGAGAGTGTGCGTGAGAGAGTGTAAGTGTGCGTGAGGGTGTGCGTGAGACAGGGTGAGTGTGCGTGAGGGTGTGCGTGAGACAGGGTGAGTGTGTGTGAGCGAGGGTGTGAGCGAAGGTGAGCGTGCGTGAGAGTGTGCGTGAGAGAGGATTAGCGTGCGTGATGGGGCAGTTGTGGAGAGAGTGGAGTGATTCCATTATCTGGGCAGTGTGCTTATGACCCTGGTTTGACAGCAGAGGTCTCACTCCGAAACAGTCGGACGGCATTGTCTTTTCATCGGCTGCGTAACGCTGTGTGAAAGCTACCTGGGTCTGTTGGTCCATACGAAGCTTCGGGTCTTCTCGGTCAGCCATGACTTCCCACCTCTAAGCTTGTGAAACGGGGACCCCTCCAATGGAGCATCTCCGCCGGTTAGAAACATTGAGGCTGGTCTGCCGACGATCCATCCTGGATTTAACCAGGCTGGATTGTGTGAGGAGCTCACAAATCATTGAAAGATCTGGACAAAGTCCCATCAATGGGCACCTCCGGCGGGCAAGGCTGCGTTGACCAGGTCATGTTGCCGATATGATAAGCCAACGCATTCCCAAAAAGCTTCCATTTGGCCGGATAGAGGGATGGTGAGTGTGCGTGGAAGATGGTGAGTGTGTGTGAGAGATGGTGAGTGTGTGTGACATGGTGAGTGTGTGTGTGAGATGGTGAGTGTGTGTGAGACATGGTGAGTGTGTGTGAGATGGTGAGTGTGTGTGACATGGTGAGTGTGTGAGAGATGGTGAGTGTGTGTGACATGGTGAGTGTGTGTGAGAGATGGTGAGTGTGTGTGAGAGATGGTGAGTGTGCGTGAGAGAGGGTGAGTGTGTGTGAGACATGGTGAGTGTGCGTGAGAGATGGTGAGTGTGCGTGAGAGATGGTGAGTGTGTGTGAGAGATGGTGAGTGTGTGTGACATGGTGAGTGTGTGTGTGAGATGGTGAGTGTGTGTGATACATGGTGAGTGTGTGAGAGATGGTGAGTGTGTGTGAGAGATGGTGAGTGTGTGTGACATGGTGAGTGTGCGTGGGAGATGGTGAGTGTGTGTGAGAGATGGTGAGTGTGTGTGACATGGTGAGTGTGTGTGTGAGATGGTGAGTGTGTGTGAGACATGGTGAGTGTGTGAGAGATGGTGAGTGTGTGTGACATGGTGAGTGTGTGTGAGAGATGGTGAGTGTGTGTGAGAGATGGTTAGTGTGTGTGAGACATGGTGAGTGTGCGTGAGAGATGGTAAGTGTGCGTGAGAGATGATGAGTGTGTGTGAGAGATGGTGAGTGTGTGTGTGAGATGGTGAGTGTGTGTGTGACATGGTGAGTGTGTGAGAGATGGTGAGTGTGCGTGAGAGATGGTGAGTGTGTGTGAGAGATGGTGAGTGTGCGTGAGAGATGGTGAGTGTGCGTGAGAGATGGTGAGTGTGTGTGAGAGATGGTGTGTGTGAGAGATGGTGAGTGTGTGTGACATGGTGAGTGTGTGTGAGAGATGGTGAGTGTGCGTGAGAGAGGGTGAGTGTGTGTGAGACATGGTGAGTGTGCGTGAGAGATGGTGAGTGTGTGTGAGACATGGTGAGTGTGCGTGAGAGATGGTGAGTGTGCGTGAGAGATGGTGAGTGTGCGTGAGAGATGGTGAGTGTGCGTGAGAGATGGTGAGTGTGCGTGAGAGATGGTGAGTGTGTGTGAGAGATGGTTAGTGTGTGTGAGACATGGTGAGTGTGTGTGAGAGATGGTGAGTGTGTGTGAGAGATGGTGAGTGTGTGAGACATGGTGAGTGTGTGTGAGAGATGGTGAGTGTGCGTGAGAGATGGTGAGTGTGCGTGAGAGATGGTGAGTGTGCGTGAGAGATGGTGAGTGTGCGTGAGAGATGGTGAGTGTGCGTGAGAGATGGTGAGTGTGTGTGACATGGTGAGTGTGTGTGAGACATGGTGAGTGTGTGTGAGAGATGGTGAGTGTGTGTGAGAGATGGTGAGTGTGTGTGACATGGTGAGTGTGTGTGAGAGATGGTGAGTGTGTGTGAGAGATGGTGAGTGTGTGAGACATGGTGAGTGTGTGTGAGAGATGGTGAGTGTGTGTGAGAGATGGTGAGTGTGTGTGAGAGATGGTGAGTGTGTGAGACATGGTGAGTGTGTGTGAGACATGGTGAGTGTGTGTGAGAGATGGTGAGTGTGCGTGAGAGATGGTGAGTGTGTGTGAGAGAGGCTCTTTGTATTTAGAAGTCTCTGAATTATATATTGTTCCCCGAGCACGGACAGAGCCGGCGCGCATTTTATGAATTTATTGATTTTAGTGCAAAGTTCTGAGTCAGGGACGGCTCCATCTCCAGGGTGCAACGTACTTTAACAGCGATAACAAGAGATAAGCATGTTGTGCACTGGTGTTCTGTCATGTGTAACACGTGTGACATGCTGTACAGCGGTATTATGCGGTGTACCAGCAGGAACCCGTGGGACTTTCGCCATAAAAAGGATGGCGAATATGTACGTTTTATCACTTGGTATCTTTGTTTTATACATTTGAATATTTCAGTATCTTAATGACTAAAACATGTTTTCAGTTTTTTTATTTTGGCATGAACAGCATTTAAACAAATACAATAATTTGTTTAAATATTGTTTAAATATTATTTAAACAAATAAAATGTGTTTGTATAATTGTTCAATCTTGACTTAAAGCTTTCGTGACTGCAGGAATTCATGTTCATTTGGTCTTTTGGTAAAGTCACGTAGATCGAACATAAAAAATAAATCACGGCGTTTCGATCGCAACGCAAGCAATCGTCATCAGGTGAAAACATAGCGGGAGAGCTGCTGAGGCTGTCGTGAAGCTTTGAGATGGTGTAGCCCAAGGGTCTTTGTCTTATTGTGCATACCGGCAGTCTTGCGCAACTGTGCCGGTGTGTGTGTACACATCTCACCACGTGCATGTGCACGTTGCATACCTTTACCTGTGTGTGTGCGCGTGTCTGTCTGCTGGTCTCCCACCCCCGTGCGGCCGAAGTCAACGGGCGCAGTCCCCACCACCCGTCGCCCCCCTCCCCGGACTCACGCGTCCCCGCGCCCCCCCCTCCTCCACCCGTGAGTTCCGCGCGACACCCGAGCGCTCAGGCGTGCCGCCATGGCGTGCAGCCAGCTGTCCGTGCAGCTCATGTCGTGGGCCCTCGGGGTGGGAGGGGTGGCCTACCTGCTCCACCAGCAGCGCCACCGCACCAAGTACGGGCGCTACCAGGCAGCGGGGACCGCGCTGCCGGCGCGCCTCGCGTGGTTCCTGCAGGAGCTCCCGTCCTTCCTGGTGCCCGTGCTGCTCCTGCTGGGCGCCGGCGGGGCGGACACCCTGCCCCTGCCCAACGCGCTGCTTCTTCTCATGTTCTGCGGCCACTACTTCCAGAGGTGAGGCGGCGTGCAGCTGCGTGCACGTGGGCAGCGGTCACAGCGGTAGAGGGGCAAAGACCCCCGTCTTACCCTAGACCCTCAGCACCCCCTCCCCCCCCCTCCTTGGGCCTACTCTTCCCTTGGACCGCTCGTGGATTTGACCCGGCCGGACCCCTCACCTTAGCCCCCCCCCCACACACCCCGCAGGACATTCGTGTTCTCGCTGCTGAGCAACGGGAGGCCCACGCCACTCGCCATCGTGGCTTACGCCTTCGCCTTCTGCGCCTACAACGGCTTCCTGCAGGGTCACCAGCTCGTGCACTGCGTGGCGTACCCGCCTTGGTGGCACCGCGACCCCAGGTTCATCGCAGGTAGGAAGGGGGCTCCATGGCCAGGTATGGGTGGGGGAGCGATGGGGGAGGGCGGGGGGGGGGGCCCACGCCGAGTCTTTGTTTGCCAAATTCGCCGAGCTAAATGCAGAGGGCCAGTTTCTGGTTGCATCTAATCCTCATAGCAAGCTACGTGGATATTTCCACTTTTAAAAAGCCCAATCGAGTCTGAAGACTCGTTTCAAAAGGGTTCCCGCATCGGAGCGTTTGGCGAGTCCCACGCATCAGCGAGCGGAAGCAGCCGCTTGATTTTAAACAACGCGTGGAGGGTCCGGGATGCATCCGCTCAGCAGCAGCTACTGCTGCAGCTACTACTGCAGAAGACACTGCTGCAGCTACTGCTGCAGGTACTGCTGCAGCTACTGCTGCAGCTACTGCTGCAGACACTGCTGCAGCTACTGCTATAGATAGTATACGGGCGCGGCAAACAACAAACAGCACGATCAGAGTAAATTTTCCACGTCGGCTTTTACGACCAATAATATAAAACCCATAATTGGGTTTTGGGGTTTTTTATTTGGGTTGGGTCGTGTTAAGAAAATGTGTGTCGTAAATCTTCCTCCACCCAACACAGTCACTTAATAAAGGTGCCAAGTGTCTTACCGCTTTCGCAGCAGCATCATTAGCAGCAGCAGTAGCAGCAGCAGCAGCAGCGTCGCTGTTGTTGTTGGAAGGCGATCTCACGACATTGGACATTGGCTAACGACGTGTCGCTGGACAACACATCTCTGATCGATCAGAGCTGTTCACCTGACGATGCTGAATGTAATCTCCGGCGAAACGTCGTTCCCATGTACACGTGGTGAGATCGCTCCCCAACAACAACACTTGGCACGTTTGATCAAGTGACACTTTTATTAATAAGCTGTCGGCCGGATGAGGGATTTACGACGCACATTTTTCTGTTACACCACCGCAACTCACCGACGAATCACGATCAGAGTTGTAATAAGTGGCAGAGACGTCACCGCGACGCTTGCACCAGGCTAGGTGCATCTCGAGGCCACCTTAATTGTAGAAGGCTCTGGCTGTTGGCAGGAGGTGACGGAACAGACCCAGGTGCTGCGGGTCGACTGAACGAGATGACTGGGCAGATGCCCCACCTGTGCTCCCCACTGTGCCAACATGCTGCGTTTTATCAGCCCGGCGTTCCACTCGTTGTTGTGAGCTTCGCTATGAATCACCCTAAATACACACAGGCACACTGGCAAAAAAATACAAATATAGCCCGTATAGCATCATATGTAGGCTGTGCGGTTAAGTGCTAACCAATTCCTGCGGAGGGAGCTGGTAGGAACGTTGGGTTGCTCGGTCAATGGCCTGGGTCAACGGCGGCGTGGTGTATTCCGCAAATATGGCTGACTGTGAGGGCTTGCACAAGCCGGCGTGAGTTGGTTAAACCTTGAGTTTTATAAGGGCACCACGGGGTGACCAGCCCCTCCCCACCCAGCCCCAACCCTCCCATCCCCCACCCAGCCCCACCCTCCCCACCTAGCCCAGCCCCTCCCCACCCTCCCCTCCCCACCCAGCTCCTCCCCCCCCTCCCCACTCAACCCCTCCCCACCCTCCCCTCTCCACCCAACCCCTCCCATTTTTGGATGCACGACGGACGGACACAATAATCCCCTGTGGGCTGGTGTAACCAGGAGGTTCCTACCAGTATAAGCGAGCAACCTAGTAAGGCTGCCGGCGCGGCAGTGCTGGTAGTTTCATGTTGCACCAGGGTCACTACATCGTTTGTGCCAGGCTAGGTGCACACACAATAGCACGTACGTCGAACTTCTTTGGCACCGTACGAAGCCAACCGTGCGCGGTAATCGGAGGTGCGGGGGAAGGACAACAAACTAAACGCAAAAGGCATAAAATCGTCAACACTTGGAGACGGGGACGTCACCAGCTGCTGAGCACAGGGCTCAATGGCCGAAAGCGTCACGGGGACAGCAACAAACAGCACTGTCAGACTTGTAATAGACACGAGTGAACAAGACGTAGCTGGAATGGAGCGAGGTCTTTGTGGTTAAGAGTTTGGAGAGAAGAGAAACGATGGGAAGAGGGAACTCCAACGTGAAGCAGTGGGAGGGAAGTGTCGTGAGCCACAGTGCCAGGCTAGGTGCACAGCACACGCAGTGACGGGGTCTGTGGTCCCGTTCAGGGGTCCTGCTGTTTGCGCTGGGCATGGGGATCAACATCCACAGCGACAGCATCCTGCGGGGTCTGCGACGCCCCGGACAGACCCACTACAGCATCCCCCAAGGTGAGGCACCCCTACACACACACACAGGGGCACCCTTACACACACACACGGGGTGTACCCTTACACACACGCGGGGTGTACCCCTACACACACACACAGGGGCACCCCTACACACACACACAGGGGTGTACCCTTACACACACACGCGGGGTGTACCCCTACACACACACACAGGGGCACCCTTACACACACACACACGGGGTGTACCCTTACACACACACACACACAGGGGCACCCTTACACACACACACACGGGGTGTACCCTTACACACACACACACACAGGGGCACCCTTACACACACACACGCGGGGTGTACCCCTACACACACACACAGGGGCACCCTTACACACACACACACGCGGGGTGTACCCTTACACACACACACAGGGGCACCCTTCCACACACACACACACAGGGGCACCCTTACACACACACACACGCGGGGTGTACCCTTACACACACACTCAGGGGCACCCTTACACACACACACGCGGGGTGTACCCTTACACACACACAGGGGCACCCTTACACACACACACGCGGGGTGTACCCTTACACACACACACAGGGGCACCCTTACACACACACACACGGGGTGTACCCTTACACACACACACAGGGGCACCCTTACACACACACACACGGGGTGTACCCTTACACACACACAGGGGCACCCTTACACACACACACAGGGGCACCCTTACACACACACACACGGGGTGTACCCTTACACACACACACGCGGGGTGTACCCTTACACACACACACAGGGGCACCCTTACACACACACACACGGGGTGTACCCTTACACACACACACAGGGGCACCCTTACACACACACACACACGCGGGGGGCACCCTTACACACACACGGGGTGTACCCTTACACACACACACAGGGGCACCCTTACACACACAGGGGCACCCTTACACACACACGCGCGCGGGGTGTACCCCTACACACACACAGGGGTGTACCCTTACACACACACACGCGGGGTGTACCCCTACACACACACACACGGGGTGTACCCCTACATACACACGCAGGGGCACCCTTACACACACACACAGGGGTGTACCCCTACACACACACACGCGGGGTGCACCCCTACACACACACACGCGGGGTGTACCCTTACACACACACACACGGGGTGTACCCCTACACACACACACGCGGGGTGTACCCCTACACACACACACGCGGGGTGTACCCCTACACACACACACACGGGGTGTACCCCTACATACACACGCAGGGGCACCCTTACACACACACACAGGGGTGTACCCCTACACACACACACGCGGGGTGCACCCCTACACACACACACGCGGGGTGTACCCTTACACACACACACGCGGGGTGTACCCCTACACACACACACAGGGGTGTACCCCTACACACACACACGCGGGGTGTACCCTTACACACACACACACAGGGGTGTACCCCTACACACACACACAGGGGCACCCTTACACACACACACGGGGTGTACCCTTACACACACACACGCGGGGTGTACCCCTACACACACACACATACGGGGTGTACCCCTACACACACACACACAGGGGTGTACCCCTACATACACACACCGGGGTGTACCCCTACACACACACACACAGGGGTGTACCCCTACACACACACACGCGGGGTGTACCCTTACACACACACACACGGGGTGTACCCCTACACACACACACACAGGGGTGTACCCCTACACACACACACGCGGGGTGTACCCTTACACACACACACACGGGGTGTACCCCTACACACACACACACGGGGTGTACCCCTACACACACACACACGGGGTGTACCCCTACACACACACACACGGGGTGTACCCCTACACACACACACGCGGGATGCACCCCTACACACACACACACGGGGTGTACCCCTACACACACACACGCGGGATGCACCCCTACACACACACACACGGGGTGTACCCCTACACACACACACGCGGGGTGCACCCCTACACACACACACGCGGGGTGTACCCTTACACACACACACACGGGGTGTACCCCTACACACACACACACGGGGTGTACCCTTACACACACGCGGGGTGTACCCTTACACACACACACGCACACAGGGGTGTACCCTTACACACACACACGGGGTGTACCCCTACACACACACACGCGGGGTGCACCCCTACACACACACACACGGGGTGCACCCCTACACACACACACACACGGGGTGTACCCTTACACACACGCGGGGTGTACCCCTACACACACACACGGGGTGCACCCCTACACACACACACGGGGTGCACCCCTACACACACACCGGGGTGTACCCCTACACACACACACAGGGGCACCCTTACACACATACACACGGGGTGTACCCCTACACACACGCGGGGTGCACCCCTACACACACACACACACGGGGTGTACCCCTACACACACACACACGGGGTGTACCCCTACACACACACACACGGGGTGTACCCCTACACACACACACACGCAGGGTGTACCCCTACACACACACACGGGGTGTACCCCTACACACACACACACGGGGTGTACCCCTACACACACACACACGGGGTGTACCCCTACACACACACACAGGGGTGTACGCCTACACACACACGCGGGGTGCACCCCTACACACACACACACGCGGGGTGTACCCCTACACACACACAGGGGGGGTACGCACGGTTTGGGACGCATGTTTTCAACCCCTGCCCATGGTAAACTGGACTCCCATGGTGAACTGGACTTCCATGGTGAACTGGACTTCCATGGTAAACTGGACTTCCATGGTAAACTGGACTCTCATGGTAAACTAGACTTCCATGGTGAACTGGGCTTCTATGGTGAACTGGGCTTCTATGGTGAACTGGACTCCCATGGTGGACTGGAGTTCCATGGTAAACTGGACTTTCAACTTAAATAACAAAAAGAGGAGGCATTTAATGTTTCGAATTGCAAGAGCCGCCACTGCCTAACACATGCGGCTCCGGAGCCGCCGGTTGGTGGGCCCTGCCCCAGAAGGCCCCAGAAGGCCCCAGAAGGCCCCAGAAGGCCCCAGAAGGCCCCAGAAGGCCCCAGAAGGCCCCAGAAGGCCCCAGAAGGCCCCAGAAGGCCCCAGAAGGCCCCAGAAGGCCCCAGAAGGCCCCAGAAGGCCCCAGAAGGCCCCAGAAGGCCCCAGAAGGCCGGCAGGGCCTGGGGCAGCACGCTCCTCTCAACGAGCAGACACCGTGAGGACGGCGTGGAAGCACGCCTCACGCTCCGTGGCGATTCACGGCCGGGCACTTTCACGGAGCGATGCGTGCTCCGTGTTGCACCGACTTCTTCGTTGATTTGTTTATTTCATCCTCACCGATTGCAAAAGCTTTCTATAATACAATAAGAAAGTAGCCTCGTTAAGCCTTTCGTTGCGTTCACAGAGACGCGACGCGCGATAACACTACAGGGCTAACTCGCCACGGGATGCCTTGATAGGGGATAACTGGACACGGGATAACACGGGACCCCGCATGGACCCCTGCAGGGGGTCTGTTCGAGCTGGTGTCGGGCGCGAACTTCCTGGGCGAGATCGTGGAGTGGAGCGGCTTCGCGCTCGCCTCGTGGTCGCTCCCCGCGGCGACATTCTGCATCTTCACCGTGTGCGCCATCGGGCCGCGCGCCGTCCACCACCACCAGTATGACATCACCACCACCATCACCACCACCATCACCACCACCACCATCATCACCACCACCATCATCACCACCATCACCACCACCACCATCACCACCATCACCACCACCACCATCACCACCATCACCACCACCATCACCACCATCACCACCATCACCACCACCATCACCACCACCATCATCACCACCACCACCACCATCACCACCATCACCACCATCACCACCATCATCACCACCACCACCATCACCATCACCACAAACATCACCAGCATCACCACCACCACCACCACCATCACTACCATCACCACCACCACCATCACCACCACCATCACCACCACCATCACCACCACCACCACCATCACCACCATCACCACCACCATCATCACCACCACCACCACCATCACCACAAACATCACCAGCATCACCACCACCATCACTATCTTCACCGTGTGCTCATCGGGCTACGTGCCGTCCACCACCACTTTCACCACTATCACCACCAGTTCGACATAACCACCACCATCACCAACATCACCACCACCATCACCAACATCACCACCACTTTCACCACTATCACCACCAGTTCGACATCACCATCATTACCACTACCACAATCACCATCACCTCCATCATCACCACCATCACCACCAGTACGACTGCACCATCATCACCATTACCACCAACACCAGAACATAATCACCACGATTGTTATACCCATCACTACGATAAGCAGCAATAGTTACAACGCCACCATAATCTTTACCACCATTATCATCACCACCATAACCCGTAAGACATCATCACATTATAATGTGCTGATAATTATTACCATCTACCATAACCACTATAACCTTACCGCTACCATCAGCACCATCTCCATCACCAGAAGGGACTTCATATCCGTCTACATCACCACCGCCATCGCCACCATCACCGCCGCGAGGGCAACCGCAAGACATCCACATCACATCGGTAACTTCACCGCCATCGCCCAGATCACCGCTGCGACATTAAACCCGTTGTCTCCATTGCAGATTCTACCTCGAAAAGTTCAAGGACTACCCCAAGTCGCGTCGCGCACTCATCCCCTTCCTCCTGTGAGCCGGGAGCCAGAGCTGGGAGCCGGGAGCGATTGGAGACGCGCGGTGCTGCGCCTCTCATGACTGTGATGTCATCGTAGTTAATTATTAGAAGCGCAGTCGTGCATGCACCGACATTGATCGAACGAATGAGCGAATGACTGAATGAATGACTGAATGAATGAACGAATGACTGGTTGACTGATTGAGTGGCTGCATTGGCAGACTCACTGACCCGCTCGTTGACTCACTAAATTACGAGCTGACGACTTCGCTATCCGATTGATGTATTGGCTGACTGCTTGCCCGATGGGCAGCTCAATGAATCACCCATGGAGTGACTGGCTGGATAGCCCACTGGTTGACGATTTGACCTGACTGTTTTACTGGCTGGATGACCTCAATGAGGGACTCCTCATTCACTCACTAATTGGCTGAATCACTGTTTGACCCACGAGTTGACTTACGAATTAACGGTAGACGGAGGCGTTTTATTGAAGGCCGAAGAACCCGATGAGCTATGCAGCTTTTTTCATATTCAGGTGACGAACGGGCTCACTGGATACCTCGATTTGACTCACCGACTGACTGGATAGACCACTGACTCACTAATTGACCGAATGGATAGTCCAATGACTGAATTGCTAATTGATGGTTTAGTTAGAGCTGGGGGATTTCTCTCCCCCGCGTCGCGGCCAATGGCGAGGGTGTCCGGAGGATTTGCCCCGCGGGAGGGAGGGGACCCTTTGTTCCGCCAGGGGGACCCCCGTGGGCCCCGTTCCCCCCCCCCCGTGTTACACCCCCCTCCCCCCCCCCCCTGCCCCCCCCTCCCCCCCCGGCGAGGAGAGAGAGGAAGCGCTCGCCCGTTCCGTTACGCAGCCTGGGCACGGCACCGCGGGCGACGAGGCTGTGATGTCAATGCGATGATGGGGATTTGATGGGAGTATGATGCGGTGACGGGACTGTGACCTTAAATCATGCAGCGACCGCTCGTCTGTGTTGTGCAACTGGCGCTGTATAATAAACACTGCTGCAGTCGTGATTTCTGAACGTGTGGCTCGCGTCGTGAACCTAATGGGGGTCTGTCACGACCCCTGATCCCACCCGGACCCCTGATCCCATGAACCCCCCCTGATCCACTTACCCAACCTCTTGATGCCACTGCGTAGGTGTTCGCGGCTGAGCTGCTCCGATTCGGGTTGTCCTGCGTGTTGTTCAGCACCATGAACTGACTAGTTAAGTTTAAACAATTCAGATTAATAATAATAGTTCAATTTGTAACGCGCGCAAATTTGCAGACGTAGTGGCCGCAACTCAGAGGCGCGGAGCCAAGCTCAGAGTCGCTCGAAAGCGTGATTGTAGAGGTGAGTTTTTAAGTCTCTCTTGAAGGAGGCGATTGAGGTGATGCTGCGAATGTGCAGAGGGATATCGTTCCAGACTGTTGGGGCTGCCACCGAGAAGCGGCGCATAGACATGACCATCCTGGATCTTGGTATCAAGAGGAGGTCGTGAGTCGCGCAGCGCAGGCATCTGCCATGTGCTGAGCTGCAAGTTGTCAATAATGAAGAAAGGTACGGCGGGCAGGCGGATATGAAGGCATTGTGGCAGAGGCAGTCGGTCTTGTATGTGTAACGGGTTCCGGAGACACTTGCAGAGGTAACTTCTTTATTACAATCCAACACTCCAACAGTCCTGATACTCTGTTACAGCCTCGGTACACAGCCTAGGTACACAGCCTAGATACACTACTCTGGCTACGCTCTGGAATTCGCCCTCACAAGGACGTAGAACGTAGAGCCGGGAGTTCCAGTCCCACCACTGGCCCTCACAGCGTCCCAGGGTCCTCAGATGGCCGGTCTTGGGTCTTGGGTCTTGAGCTACAACTGGCCCCGATCGTCCAGGGAGCTGCCCTTTTATGCCTCGTCCCCAACGAGGGGTGGGGTTGTGTGCGCCCCCAGATATCCCACAGAGAACACACAGCCCCCCCCCCCCGTTGGTGGCGCCAAGGGGCTTAGGCGTCTGGGTTGCCTGGGAACCTAGCGTCTGGCGCCAAGGGGCTTAAGCGTCTGGGTTGCCTAGGGTCCCAGAGCCCCCAGCAGCCCCTCCCCTCTTATGTCACTACATATGTGACCCTACTGGCGATGGGTAGCCAGTTGAGAGCACGGAGACAAGCTAGTGAGTCGAGACGGGGATGAGTGTGGACAATGACGACGCGTGCTAGGTTATTTTGTAGTCTTTGAAGTTTCTTTAGGTTGCCAGCGGAGGTCCGGACTAGGACGGAGTTACAATAGTCAAGGCGAGACCCAACTATGCAACATGCCAATGTGTTGGCAATTTCAGTAGAGATGAGAGGACGTATGTGTCTAAGAGCCTTCAGGTGAAAGTTACACGAGCTGATGATATGGTTGGTTTGACGGTCGAAGGATAAAGTTGAATCTAGGATGACACTGAGGTAGCCGAAGTGGTCGGTGAACTTGATGCTGTGACCGAAGATGTGTATGTGTGTGGGGAGTGCTGCTGAATTGAGAGGTTGCTTGGAACCTAACATGATGGCCACAGACTTTTTCGGATTAAGGGCTAGGTTGTGTGCAGTGAACCATTGTTGCACGGTGGTGGTACATTCCGAGAGCCTCTCGAATCCAGATGCATTGCTAGAATCGATGGCGGTGAATAGAATCGTGTCATCCGCGTATCAGTGGTGCTTAACACCGAAGCTTGCAATGAGCCGGCCGATCGGGGAAGTGTAGGCTGTGAAGAGCAGGGGACCTAGAACAGAGCCCTGGGGAACCCCGCATAATGCTGTTGTTTCAGGCGATGTGGACATGCCCACCCTGACTGAAGATTGCCGGTCAGAAAGGTACGAAACTATCCACTTGAGTGCTGAGCCGCATATACCGAAGTCGGATTTCAGGAGGGAAGTAAGGAGCGAATGGTTGATGGTGTCGAAGGCTGACGAAATGTCCAGACTTACAAGTGCAACAGTTGAGCCGGAATCAATGGTCGTTAAAATGTCATCAAGCACTCTAGTGAGTGCTGTTTCTGTGGAATAGTTTTGACGGTAAGCTGACTGGAAGCAGCAGTAGTTTGCGGAGGAGGTGACGTGTGGTTTTAGCTGGGCGAGGGCTAGTCGTTCAAGGAGTTTAGAGAGGTTCGAGAGGTTAGTGATGGGACGATAACTAGATGGGTCATTCGGATCTAGACTTGGTTTCTTTAACAAGGGAGAAACCAGGCCAGGTTTGAGGTTGGACGGAAACACCCCTAAGAGAAGGAGGCATTTGCGATGTTCCTGATCATGATGGCGAGTTCCGGAGCACATTGCTTGAACAAGGAACCTGGGAGCACGTCGAGTGGAGATGACTTCAAATGAAGTGATTCAATTAAAGAGAAAACGTCTTTTGTAGACACCGGCTTTAGCGTAATTAGAAGAGTGTCTGGGTTAGTGCTTACAATTTTAGGTACCATGAGCGGGGTACAATGGTGCGATGTGTCGGTAGACGTGCACGAGTTTGCGACAGTGATTAGCTTGTTGGTGAAGTAAGTGTTAAAAGAGGTGGCAAGTTTCAGTGAGGCAAGGGGATCGTTAAGGTGAGGGACCATGGTGCTACCAGGATGTAGAAGATCTTTGAGGGTTTCCCATAGAATGCGCGGTTTTCCAGTTGCTTTTTTGATGCGTTCCTCAATGTAGGAGGAACGTGAGACAAGGATCAGTTTGTTAGTTTTCCTGCAGGCGACTCTGTAAGCAAGTCGATCAGCAGGTAGACCACTGCGGGATGCGATACTTTCAAGGCGCCTCCTGGTTCGCTTAGCAATGATGGCATCTCTTGAGAGCCAGTAAGTGTCGTGGGAAGACTGCCTAGCGGTTCGTGATTTTAATGGAGCTAGTTTGTCCAGCGCCGCCCTCATGTCAGCTTCTAGTTGGAGAGCGCAGACGGTTGGATCCGATGATGGGGATAACATTGAAAGCGAATTTGCAAGGAGGTGACGAAAAGCAGAAAATTCGATACCCTTAAAATTACGCAAGTTGCGGGCGAATTTGATGGTGATTGGCTTGGGAAATTGGAGGGAAGAAAGTATGAGGCGGTGGTCGGAGTAACCAGTTTGGAAAACTCCCAGTGCAGTGATGCGTCGGTGCTGGTCAGGTTCCAGAACCAGGTCGAGCATGCTCTCAACGTTTGTTGACGAAGCTCTGGTGGGGCCTGAGTTTGTGATGACCAGGTTATGGCAGGCCAAAGTTGACTCAAGGTGACTATCGATGGAGGCTGGGGTATTGCCGGGGCAATTAAAGTCACCTGTAAGCACGAGCCTGTGAGATGGGTTAGTAATCAGATATAGGAATTCCGAAAGCTCATTTAAGAAGGTGTCGATGCTGCCATCTGGAGGAAATTATGGAAAAGCACTCGTTGTTAGTAGTAAGGGATACGGACTGGACCTCGAAGGTGGCGGGAGCCATTGGTAGATAGAGCTCTTTAATTTTCAAGTGAGCATTGTAAACGACCGCTAAGCCACCACCCCGCTGGTTAGTTGCGCGAGGTTTGTATCCTGGGGGCGCAACTTTCCGAGAGATGGCTGGCGGGGAGTCTTGCCTGCACCAGGTCTCAGTGATGCGCAAAAGGTCGATGTGGTGGTCCGAGATGGTGTCGTGAATCCGGGCTGATTTATTGGTGATGGAGCGTGCGTTGAGTAGGCCGAGGCGGATGTGTGAAGGTAGATGTGAAGATCCGTGCAGGTGAGGTGTCGAGGGAATAAAGGAGTTGGCTGGTTCGAGGTCGACCTGTGAACGGCGGCCCCTGCCACCTCTGCAACCACGGTGCCGATGCAGTCTCCGACGTTGGCCTCGGAGAAGCCCAAGGACAGAGAGCGTCCTCAGGAGCGCGGGTTCCAGGTGCAGGTGATGAAGAGATGGTGCATGTCGTAGCCCTATTATATCAGCCCGTGCTGCACCGATGGTGCTGATGAAGGGGCCCGGATTCGGGTGGACTCCAATCAGCGGCTCTGCTGCCCTGAGCAGCAAGTCGAGGTGGCGTTGTCCAAGCTCCACGCCGTCAGCAAGCACTTCCCCGTACGTAGCGGATGCAAACACGCCCGTGTAAACACACGTTGAGCGCGTACACGGGCGTACAGAACCACGCAGGCGGGGCGTGCAATGGAGCGGCCAGAAGAACACGAGGTCCAGTGGATTAGCTGACCACGCGCTGTGCTCCAGCTCGCAGGTGATGCAGCAGGGTGGACAACCTCGCAGAGCTCCCGTTCACTGGTGGTGCTGGGCAGCAGGCACGCCAACTCTCTCATGTTGAGGAGATGACAGTCTGCTTCGCGTTCCCACTCGCTGATGGTGGTGAACATTGGACGGAGCACGTAGATCTCCCATTTGCTGGCGATGCTGGGGCACGCCAAGCTCACACTCGCTGATAGAGGAGGAAGAGGTGCCTTGTGAGGAGGACGTTGCTGGTAGAAACCGTACCCGGGGCGGCTGTTAAGCCGCGCCGCATGAACAATACAGCCAGCGTCCTCCAGCTTCGTGAGTCGAAGCAGCAGGCCTCGTTTACTCGCACTGCCCAACAGCTGTGCGATGCGGCAGTTAAGATTCTGGTTAACCCTCCACCCCCCAAGCACGTGGATCGAAACGTTGGACATCGTGCCGCCGAACAGCACGCGCGCGGCCCAACCGGAGCAACGTGTGGACATTCATTGTCCCGGATCTCCGATCCCATCGGGAGACCGCACGGACACTCAATCCCCCGCTGCCCCCCCTGCCAATGAACCACCGAGTCTGAATCTCTCGAATTTTGTGGTGGAGTCGAGGGCTGTGGGGGGGGCGCCCCGCTCGTGCCTCGCTCCCGTTCCCACCCGCGCTCGGCGCAGCGGGGCCAGCCAATCGGTGCCCGAGGAGAAGCGCACACCCCCTCCCAGTTGCTGCCGCGAGCCAATCAGGGGCGAGAGTCGCACACGTGGGTTTAGGTAGAAAACGGGAACCGAGTCCACGAGAGCGACTCGGGTAACTGCTCCTCATCCTGCTCCTGCTGCTGCTCCTGCTGCTGCTCCTGCT